GGGAACAGGTTCTCAGCCCCAGCCTTCAGATTCCTGCAGCCCTAGCTAAAGGCTCAGATGCCCCAGGCCAGGTCCACTCTGCTAAGCTCCTCTCAGATTCCTGGCCCTGGGAACCATGGAGAATAATCATTGCTTTTTGTGTTAAGGTGCTGAGTTTGAGGTAATTTGTTATGCAGTAACAACTAACACAAGGGTGTGATCTAGTTGAGAAGGTTAACCACACGTTTAGAGAAAAAAAACACAATGAATCAAACAAGTGGCAGAGATCAGTATTCAGGGAGAGAGAAAAGTGGGAGGCATGGGAAGGCAATCCAGAGCTCCAACTACGAGCTTGCCTCTTACAAGTTCTATTCACACAAACCTTTCCTCCTTCTCTAATCCCAGCAGTCACCCTAGTCAGGAGCTTTGCCAGCAGGGCTGGTTCGCTGATATCCTCTGGCATGGCTGTCCGATTGTAGACAGTGGAAATACATCTGTGCTGTTCAGGGCTCTCTGCCCAGGCCCATCCCCATGGTAACTGAAGGGCCTGTAAGTGGCCCCACAGCAGTGTCCAGGACCCTGATCCCACCCCCAGGCCAGCAGCAGTCTCTGTGGTCAGGCATACTCCTCTTACGGACTGGTAGTGTCAACAGGGCAACCTGAACCAAGCATGCGGTGATCCTAGGACTGTGTGCCACCCTCTGAGGGATATATCCTTCCCACAGACACTCTTAAGGTCCTGGGGCTGTGGAAAATGTGAGCGGAGCAGGCACTGGAACTATCCTTTCCTTCCAAAGTTTTGTGTCCTTCATACCACCCAGAGAGCTAAATCTAGCAGAGTGAAGGGAAGCAGAGGGTATCGTGGAACCAAAGCTATATAATTTCTGTGAAAATGTATATTATTTTATCAACATAAATGTATATGTGTCATCTTGATTTTATGTATGAATATATGAAGATATCTAAGGCAAAAGTGTGATTTCATATTTAAAAATTTTAATGGACATAACAATAATTGTACACATTCAGAAGTTATAATGTGGTATTTGGACACGTAAAATGATCAATGATCAAATCAAGATATCTAGTATATATGTCACCTCAAGCGTTTCTTTGTGTTAGGAGCATTATAATTTCTCTCTTTTATATAATATATAATAAATTTGTTTTGAAATATATAAAATTTATTCAATAAATGATTGTTGTTTTGCAGCATACAGTAAGTTATTATTAACTATAGTAGAACCCTACTGTGCTGTAGAAAACTAGAGCATAATCCTCCTATCTAACTATTTTTAACCAGTTTTTCCTTAGTCTCTCTCTTCCCTCCTTTCCTAGCATCTGGTATTTTTCTTCTTAAGTGTGATTTGATTTGAATGACTGGGAAAAGTTGCTTGGTTTTCAGTGTCCTTGGTTTTTCCTCCCCACTTTTAAATCCTTAAGGAGAAAAACACCTCTCATAGTTTGTGGTGTTTACAGTATTTTCTTATTGGTCAAAAGCTGGTCTCAGGTCACCACTCCTCCTACAGTTGTGCCTACCTATGGGAAAGTGCTAGCTACAACATCTGGCACATAATAGGTCCTCAATAAATGCCAGTTTCCTTTTGCTTATTTTTCCCTGACATATCTGAATTTGTCTTATTGAAAGCAGAGGTCTTAAAAGGCGAGCATCTCAGCAATTTCCAGGAATGGAGCAGATCCTCTGCTGCACGTGGATGTAGTTTGGACAGAATGAAGTGTTGGACTTTGTAGATGGTTGGAGGTGTCTGGGCCTCCCCTGGAAAGGTTTACCTCTAGGACTCAGGCAGCCAAGAGCAGTTTTCTCACCAGCGAAGAACTGTCTTGTCCGAGAGCTTCACACCCTTTCCACGCCCACTAATGAAACATCCTGTGCAGAAGCCCAGATGCCGTCTTTACTCAATCAGATAGTCTCTTCTGGGGAGAACAATGCCAGCTGCTGGGGGAGAGCTGCCTCGGGGCCTTCTGGGAAAGCTGGCCCAGCGGGCTCCATCTGGGTTCCTCTGGCTTCCTGCCACACACACGGCCCCTTCCACCTGGTACATCCGGCCTTCACACCCTTCCACTGCTAGACACTGGATCCCACCTGGCCACACCCACCCGAGGTGGGGTCCTGGCCTGGCTCTTTCAGCAGGTTGGGATAGCTGGCCTCCCCAGGTGGTGCTGTCCCAGCCCTGCCCCAGGCTGTCTGCCTGCCTGTGGCGGCCTTACGGCCATCTGGCCATTCCCTCTGAGGGACCGTTTGTCTTTGGTCTCGATATGACGTGACATGTTAATTAAAAGGTAACTAAGCCAAAATTAAAAACCAATCCTCAAACTGGGAAAATGTTACCACATCTATGAGAAAAATGAAATCCAATAAAGAAAGAAAGTAGAATGGAAACAAGCAAATAAGAAATAAAAACTGCTTGTAACAATTTTTTAAAATGGAAAAATTTCCAAACTCCTGAAGAAGGGAAACATATCAAACTGAAACAAGATACTGGGGGGGTGGGTTCAGTATTGGCAGGATATTGACAGGAAACATTTGCGGGGGCACCTGGCACCCAATTACTGCTGGAGAGAGCATGGTTGGAGACAGCTCTTCTGGAAGAAAATTGGCAGCATATTTTGACACATACACAGTGTGACCCACAAATTACACTTCTAGGAATTTACCCTGGGGACAACTGCACAAATATTCAAAGTGGACATACAACCACATGTCACCCTTTGTTACCATAGTGCAAATGAAAGAACACAATGGCCCATAGCAGGGAGTGGGTTAAATAAATCCTGATGGCGAGAAGCAATGAAGTCTACCTCATGACAGATATGAACTATTCTCACGTGGAAAGACATTCACGGTGGACTAAAAGGAAAAGGTTTTGAAATTACACATTTTATGGGATTACAACATCATAAATTATAAGATGTCTCATTGTGCTATATACCATTGAGACAAAGAATGGTTTGTACTTGCATAGAAAAGAAGCTATAAAGGAAACAAATTATATACTGTACCTAAGGTGGCCCTAAAATCCCTTCATGTTCCTTCAGAGTCCAACTCTTCTGAGTGTCTGTGCTCAGCAATGTTGTAGACGTTTTGCCACATAGCACAATGTCTTGTACCGTAAGAGATTTGGTGATACAGCATTTCCTGAAGGGATGCTCCACTCTTGTCTCGGTATTTTCTTCCAAGCATCTGACACCCATGTCGCGAGTTCTGATGTATAGCTAGGAGAGTGACACTTATGCCACTACTTCCATAGCCAGCAGCAATTGTGAACAACTGTAAAACCTCATTTTCAGTGGTGAAAATAATATACAGGTTCAAATCCTGTGAATTGTAGCAGTGGAAGTTAGCACAGCTGCTCCAGCACCAATGGAGAACTTGACTGGCCTGTGTCCCCAGTGTTGCAGGGAGACTGCCCTTAGATGCTTGGGAAGTTTAGAGCAGTGGGAGCCTGTTACTTATGATGGACCCTGCTAGTTAGCCATCATGAGGGCACCCATGGTCTCCTACGTAGCTTAAATTAAGGAGATGGCTTGGGATGCGACCACACCAGAAAGACCAACCATGTGATAGAGGACAGGGTTTTGAGTCACATGAAATCAGCCAGACTCGTCCACAGGGGTGGGAGGTGGCTGGGGATTGAACTGAGCCATGTGGGCAATGGTTGATTCCATCACGCTTATGTAATGAAGCCAAGAAACAAACTGTTTCCAAACTATGGACTTAACATCAAGGGCAACAGTGTCTGCTCATCTGTCTGCCTGTACTCAGTAGACGGGATGGAAAAGGTACAGAGTCAGTGGAGCACATGGCTGTGTCCTCCCATGGTGCAGGCGTCAAGCTCAGCCCTCAGGGTAGAGGGACTGTGAAATGGTGGGATCTCCAGGAAATGGGGCCTAGGAGAGGAAATTCAGATCACTCGGGGCACAGCTTTGCAGGGGATTGGGACCCCCTCCTTCCTGGCCACCATGAGGTGAGCAGCTTTGGGCCCCACCACGATGCTCTGCCTCCCAGAGGCCCAAAGCAACAGAGCCAACCGCAGAGTGAAACCTCCAAATCTAGGAGGGAAAAACAGACCTTTTCTCTTTATAACTTAATTATCTCAGGCATTTTATTATGTTGACAAGAAGCTGAATAACACAGGCAGAAACTTCACTTTTTTCTTGAAGAAAATATTGATTCTGAAACAGAAAAAGAAGACATTTCATCCCAAATCTCTAAAACTCCTCACAGTGAACAGAAAAATTTCCTGATTTTT